AAAGAGAGTTGCCATGGGTTGACGCCTCAGACGGCGCGGGGAGGGTCCGGTCTGGGGCCCGCTTTTTTGTTTGCCGTGATTTGTTTTGAGGGATCTTGGGACCTTTTTGGGCGTGGTTTGAAAGGGAACGGAGGGACGGGCACCTTTTCCATGTTTGTTTTGTTTGCGGCGGGGGGGGGAGTTCTGCGGACGTGGCCGAACCCTGGGAGACTGAGGAGACAAGCTCATGCTTTTGGAGATTGCCAAAGCAGAAGCCTTCCAGCCGCTGGGGGGCCAAGGGACTTTGAACCCCTTTTGTCGGGAGACCCGATTCACATGGAACTGCAAAAGAAGCACCGCCACCATTTATAGGAATCTGTTTTTGGGTGCCCCCCTTTTTGGTTCCATGCTTGCAGGGGGGGCATCCTAAAATTACCCTCTTTTGGATGGTGGATTCGAGGGGAACCAGAGGGGCACCAGCAATTTTGCATCAATCTGAGAAGCGAGCATGGCCTTTTGCTGCCAGTTACCCACTCGAAACGCTGACTTGCCGACAAGTGGGTAACCAAGCTTATCTCTCTTCGCCGATGTATACACTCACCTTGCCCCTGGTTGGTGTGAACCTCAACGAAGGCGGGCCCATCCCTCCGAAAACTTCGCGAAGGTCACAGCTTCGATGACTGGAGGTTGGGAAGCAAGTTGCCCTTTCATTGGGCCCTGTTAGGTTCCATCCTTTGGGTTCATCCATGTCTTCTCAATCTTTCGGTCGGAGATGGCTCCACTTTAAACAATTGTAACGAGCTCTTTCCCCCTAGCATCCTGCAAGTTGTTGCTGGGTCATTCGCGGTCGAATTTTCACACTCCAAAGCCTTTGAAGTGTTTTAAATTTCACAGAGGGTGATAATTGACCGTCCCACTCCTGCCACATAAAACGGAGTTGGAAATTCGATCCGCGGATGATCCACACAGCTTTGCAGAAACCATCAAGAGGCATAAACTTTGGTCCTTCTGATGTATGGAGCCAGCCCCCATGTCTCGGGTTGCAACCTCGCAGGATGCAGCGCTATGTGGACACGTACAAGGGCATGGCTGTGAAGGCCGGTTATCGGCTCGGGGCGCGCCTTTCCAAGAAAGTGGGTTCCAACTTGCAAGCGGTTTAACTGGGCCAGCAACCAACAAGGGGATGTACATGCTTGATTTGCCTCAAAGGCCCTAAGCCAGCTTGCGTGAGGCCCCAAAGGACATTGGCGCGGTCTGCAACCTGCTCTTTGCGGAAGGACACCGCGTTCAGCTTGCGGAAAGGGGTCCGAAGCAATCAAGAGAGGGGGGTATGAAATGGACGGCCGAATTTATGTGAGCGAATTCCTCACTGGGCTTCTCTGATTCACCCGCAAAACAAGGTCCATTGCTGGATAGGATCGCCTAGACTAAGTGCCAACCCCTCAAGCCAGAAGGCAATGTCAGGACCCGCGCCGCATTCCAGCGCCTTGTGTAGGCGCCGACATGGGTGTATGTGTTGTTGAGGGTACCATCTTTCCAGTCGGTCGGCTTCAATTGAGGGGAAACCTAAAGGACAACCTGCAAGTTTTGCATTTTGACACGCAGCCGCAAACGTCCCCAGAACCAGCCCCCTAAGGATAGGGTCCGAAAAGACGTCCAAATGCTGGTGTTCCAAAGCCTTGCCCATGTGTTTTGTTGTTTTTTCTCGGGGGAGGGGGGGGGCCGAATAAATAGGAAGAGTTGCCAGTAATGACAGAAAAGAAGCTGTTGGAGGTTTGATGAAGGTTTGTGGCATGCAAGCAACTAGAAAGTAGCCGCTTGGCAATCAAGTTGATTGTTGAAAGGCACCGATTCTCTTGGTTTGGGTGGGCAGAAGGGCTGTTGTCTCCAGGAATCAGCGGCGTGCTCATGAATGAGTTCCCCGTTCAGGCTTGGGCCGACTTGAGATGTAAACTCATCAGCCAGCTTAGGTGCGTTTCCTGCATCCAAAGAATTGGCACGGGCCAATCTGTGTTTTTCCCAGATACCTGAAAGCCACAGGGGTTCTAACTTTTAAAAAAAGAGGGGAAAGTGATTTGTGGTATTGACGGCTGGGTGGTAGTGGGCGTGCAGTTTGGGGTGCTGGCGCAGGTGCTGTTTGGGGTGCCCTAAGTCTGCAGATTTACTAATGTTAGTAAGGGAAGAATTTACGTAAATTGTTCGGAATGTACATAAATGTTTCGTTTTACGTAAATATTTAGTTAGGATTTGTTTACTACAAAATTACGCACATCCATTTAGTGACTACCTTTAAAAAAGAATAAAAAGACACGTATTTGTTTAAGTTTAGGTACTTACCAAATCTAGAAAAGCACATTTTTCTAGCTCGCATGTGTTTTGTTTAGCACATCGCTTGGCTCAGCGACATTAAACACATGTGGCCCGCTAGTCCCCAAAGGCTATCCGCGTCAGCGCAAAACTGAAGGAACTTCCATGACTGTTCTATTCATGTCTTATTCAGCTGCTTATGCATTTCTTATGAATTTCTTATGTGTTTCTTATGCGTTTCTTATGCACTTTTTATGCACTTTATAAGTACTCGCATTTCTTATGCAGTTCCTGGAAAGTTCGCGGACACTTCCTGGAAAGTTCATGGAAACTTCCTGGAAAGTTCCTGGAAATTTCATTGAAAGTTCAGGCTGAATACATCAGGACAACATGAGACATATGTAAAATTCAACCAACACACATCTCACTTGATAGCTTTTGCGACCGACTGGGACTGTCTTTTATATTTAAAATTGAAGTCAATGGCTAGTTGAAGTTATGGAAAAAAGCTCAACAAGCTTGTTATTTTACTACGCACTCTTGTTTGCCGCATGTTTGCCACGGCGAACAAGTCTGGATGCCGGCTGCCTTGACAAGTCTACATGCGCTGACTCCTTTCCTTAGGTTGCCGGCGTGCTACTCAAATCCGTAAGTTACATAAGAAATTCATAAGACAATCATAGAAAGTTTATACAAAGTTCATGGACACTTATTGGAAAGTTCCTGGAAAGTTCATAGAGACGTCCTGGAAAGTTCGTGGAAAGTTCAGACTGAATACATCAGGACTATATGAGACATATGCATAATTTCAACCAACACACATCTCACTTGTTGGCTTTTGTTACAGACTGGGACTTGTTTATGTTAGAAGTCCAAAATCAATAGGGTGTCTGTATGAGCTAGTTCAAGTTATGGAAAAACTCACCAAGCACTTGATTGTACTTAGCTGCGCTCAATTTGTTGCCGCATGTGTCCCACGGCGAACAAGTCTGGATGCGCGCTGCCTTGACAGTTTTACATGCGCCGACTCCTTTCCTTACGTTGCGAATGCCGTTGCGTTGTGATGAAATCCTGTGTGTTCGGTCGCTGTTGGGGTCTTGCTCTCGCTGGCCTTCTTGTCTTTAGCGCGATTAAGTACATTTTCAATTGTACTAGGACATGTACGTAAATTCTCTGTGTTTACGTAAATGCATGGTTTTGGTAAAATATTAAATCTGCAGACTTAGGGTGCTGTTTGACGGTGTCGCAAAATTGAGGCCAGGGAGCTGGGGCATGCAGCTTGGGCTGGTGCATGCAGCTTGGGCTGGTGCATGTGCTGTTTGGGGGTGCTTGGGTTTTGGGTGCTGTTTGCGGCGCTTGTTTTGCTGCGTGGTGCTGGGGTTTTGGCTCGGCCGGTCTGTCTCCCAGTCAGTCAGTCGCTCCAGTCGGTCGGTCGGTCGCGCCGGTTGGTTGGTCGGTTGGTCTCTCAGTCGGTCGGTTGCCCCGGTCGGTCGGTCGGTCGGTCGGTCAGTGGATTGGTCGGTGCATTGGTCGGTCGGTCAGTCGGTCCCTGGACCAGCCCTAAGCCAACCCTAAGGCCCTAAACCAGCCCCAAACCAGCCCTAAACCAGCCCTACACCAACCCTAAACCAACCACAAACCACCCTTAACCAACCCTAAACCAACGTAAACCAACCCTAAACCAACCCTACACCAACCCTAAACCAACCCTAAACCAACCCTAAGCCAACCTAATTAACCCTAAACCAACCCTAAACCAGTCCTAAACCAGTCCAAAACCAACCTAAACCAACCCTAAACCAGCCCTAAATAAACCCTAAACCGCCTAAACCAACCCTACACCAGCCAGAAACCAGCCCAAAACCAACCCCAAACCAACCTAAACCAACTCCTAAACCAACCTAATAAACCAACGTACACCAACCCTAACTTAAGTCAACCCTAAACCCGCCCTAAACCACCCTAAGCCAACCTTAAATCAGCACTAAACCACCCAAAACCAACACTAAACCAACCCTACACCAACCCTAAACCAACCTAAATCAGCCCTACACCAACCATACACCATCCCTAAACCAACCCTAAACCAACCCTACACCACCCTAAATTAATTTTAAATTATTTTTAAACCAACCCTACACCAATTTTTAACGAACCCTAAACCAGTCCAAAACCAATCTAAACTAATCCTGCCCTAAACCAGCCTAACCAACCTAAATCAACCCTAAACCACCCTAAATCAACCCTAACCAGCCCTAAACCAACCCTAAACCACCCTAAACCCTAATCCAACGTAAACCAACCCAATCAACCCTAAGCCAGTCCTAAACCAGTCCTCACCCTTAACCAACCCTACATCAACCCTAAACCAACCCTAAACCAACCCTACACCAACCCTAAACCAACCTAAACCATCCCTAAACCAACCCTAAACCAACCATACACCATCCCCAAACCAACCCTAAACCAACCCTAAACCAACCTAAAAATCAACCCCAAACCAGCCCTAAATTGCTCTAAACCAACCCTAAACTAACCTAAACCAACCCTAAACTAACCTAAACCAACCGGAAGCCAACCCTACACCACCCTAGGCCACCCCAAACCAACCCTAGACCAACCCTTAACCAACCCTAAACCAGCCCTAAGCCAGCCCTGCCGCCCTAAACCAACCCTAAACCAACCCTAAACCAACCCTACACCAACCCTAAGCCAACCAAACCAGCCCTAAACCAACCACACACCATCACTAAACCATCCCTAAACCAACCTAACCAAGCGCAAACCAGCCCTACACCAGCCCTACCCCAACCCCAAACGACCCTAAACCAACTGGAAAAAGAAGGCCGTGCCGAACCTGGGAGCAAAATAACCCTTCCGCCGTGCTGTTTGGGTCTAGGGGGCATGCAGTTTTGGGTGCTGATGACGGGCGAAGGCTTTTGCGAGATTGATGGCAGGGTGCTAGGGGGCATGCAGTTTGGGGTGTTTTGGGTTCTGGTGCATGTGTTGTTTTGAGGTGCTGGTGGCGGTGCGGGCGCATTTTGCCAGATTGGTGGGCAGGCTGCTGGGAGCACGCAGTTTGGGGTGCTGGTGCAGGTGCTGTTTTTGGGGGCCTAATGACGGCACGGCGAGAAGGCAATGTGGGGTGCCACCAAGTACAGGTCATTTAGCACCCCAAACAACTACATGTTTGGACCTTCACCGCGAACCAACATGACCCCCACGATTCGAGGGTCCCAATTTTTGACAGCTTCTCATGCTTCAATCAGCCTGGTAAAGAAACCCTGGTCTGGAGATGCTGGAAGCTTGGACAGCATCCCGATGTTATTTCCAATGGGGTGCCCCATCCCACACCCAGTGCGCCAAGGCTGATGCCTAGCCACACTACTCCTGTTTCTCCCGTGGTGCTTTGGAAGTGGAACCTGTCTCAAAGAAGTACGGGGGGAAACAGAAATTGAAAGCAATGGTAAAACACACAGCAGGGAACTGAGAGGGAATGCCAGTTTGATTGGATTTAGTTTGTTGGCCGTTCTGCAACCAATGTGCGTTTGTACGTGCAATGTGAAAATGCAACGTATTCAAATCTTTCTTAGCCATATTAGTTTTTGAATTTGCTTCCAAGGGAACCCTTCAAACAAATACACGAGCACATGCCCCAGATAGCCGATGATTGCACACCAGCCTCCAAGAGCACCCCCCGAAGAGTTGCAAAAATGCGCCCACACCATCACCAGCACCTCAAACAGCCCCCCTCAAACAGCACCTGGTTTGCGCCAGCACCCCAAACTGCATGCCCCCTGTCACCCTGTCAATCTCGCCGTGCCGTCATCACGCCCCAAGACAGCACCTGCACCAGTCATTCCTTAAAGGAGGCTACGAAGGGATGTGATGTTTCATTGTTTCGAATTCCGTATGTTATGCCCAACGTACCTTTCTCCCTATTTGGCGGTTGGAGCTGGTGGTTTCGATGTGAGGGGCCTTGATAGGATTTGGTTTCAAGAGGAACCGGAGATATTTCAAAGTCCGAACCCACGGATCCAAATTCCCCTCATGAAGGCGGCAGCTGATCGTCCAAGCAGTGCTTGTAAAACTGCCCTTGCCCAAAACACAGACCTCCAGTTGGTTTCTCCCAAGGACGTGTGTTTGGGGGCGTTCTAAAGGGTGAAGTGTCCTTGGCATATGCTCAGGTGGCGTGCGCTTCTTGCTGGCGCACCCGATCCGACCTGCTTTCCTGGCGGGGACGAATCTGAGTTTGAGGGTTTGCTGGTTGAGCCTGGGAAAGGAGTTTGACGTGGGGCACTCCTGAGAAATCTACCGCGAGGGGAGCCCAAAATAAAATGCTGCTCTTTCAGGCATTTGGGAGACTTTAGTTGGTTTTGATGCGACTGGTTGCGGCATCAGCTGAGCCTCAACCATGGTCCACATGCAAATGTGGGGTCGGTTGGAACCCGTTGGAACCCTTGGACAAGATTGATTGGGGATGGCAGCCCAAACCGCATGTGGCAGCTTTTGGCTTTGAGCAATGGAAACGCCCCAAGCCGCGCCGATTTCTCGAAAATAAACCCATGGCTTGGCCCTGTGCGCGAGAGTTTGCTGCCAGGTATGAGGCCCAAAACTACCAGAGAGACTTGATGCCTTTGAGGTATGACTTCGCAGGGGCCCCAGGTCCTGATGATGTGGACTTGTGGCCTGGCATTTTCTGGGGTTGCACCCCTGGGAAATGGTCTGATGTGTCAAGTTTGAGCAGCTACCTCGATTCGGAAGAGTCTCATCCACAGTGCGGTCCCTTGATGTTGTCCTGTTAATATCAGCTCACCTGAGAAAGGATGCTTTCCACTCATTTCACTTTGGTGCCACTTATTTTGTCAGTTCGATGGATGTTTTGAAAAGGACACCTAGGCCTAAACTCCTACTGCCTGGCTTCATCCGACAAAGACAAACCAACCATGTTAGCGGAATCTGTTTCTGTATAATGGACCCTTGTTTGGCTCCCATGTTAAATTGTACGGTGAGAGTAGGTAGCGCTATCCCCTTGACATGGGTAGGGAAAGGGGATGAATGTCTACCTCTGACTAATAGACGCCCCCCCCTCAAACAACTTCCCTCCCCAAATAGTTCTCCCAACTTGATTACGAATTGCGAAGTATTGCTCATA